CACCTCTCCTATTCCCCATGACTTTTTAAAGATGATGGAGAGCAGCTCAGCCACAACATCAGCCAACTCTCTCAGCACATGTGGATGCACCCCATCGGGGCCCATGGATTTGTGTGTTTTCAGTTAGTGGAGAGTCATCCTCACTCCAGTTTTTCTTCCCTACTTCCATGACTGGAATTCCTGGGAATCGAATACCCTATCAGAAAGAAGTGCATGTAAGTGACAACTGGTCACTGTGATGCTGATGAACAGTCAATCAGATAAATTTAGGAGAGATGTAAAGATTAAAATGTTTATAATTTTAACTTCAGTGCATTTACTGCAGGTGTCCTCCTAAATGAGCAGTTCCATTTGCTCTGAAGTGGGTTGTCCTTAAAAGATAGGTGAGGTTAGTGGTGACGGAAGTATAGCCAGGCTCTCCAAAATAGGAACCCGGCGCAGGTAATCTGCTGCCATAACCACTTCCAGCATATTGTTGACAGCTTCTCATACTCGTGATTTGCAGAGGGGCTGGTTGTTATTTAAGAAAAAAGAAAGTTGAAACTCTGAGGAGTAGAAAGCAAAACTATAGATACATCTCAATCCTTTAGAAAAAAAAACTGCGATGCTTTTTATTTTAATGATGATGTTCAGTTTACTGAGCTGCAGCTCACCTGAAAGGAATTTTGTTGCTGGAAACAAGGGACTGTTGGGGTTTTGGTGGGTCAGGGGTGGCTCTTAGTGATTGCAGTTGGAGCTCCTTTGAACAGAGGAGGGTGGTGGCCAATTAGCACTAATTATTTTCATCTGGTTTTGATTCCCTGGGAGCAAGTAGATTGTGTTTCGCCCCTCAGAAAAAACAGCCAAACAAGCAAAGCAGAGAGCAGCAGCAGCCTGGTTTCTGTGCGGCCTGACCTCGTTCCTAACCCCAGGCTTTGCGTGGTGGAGCTTCACCTCCGCAGCCTTTGACCACCTCAGGGAGGGTCTCCCAGGAAAGTGAGTTTTGCCAGATGGGGTTGGCAAGCACCACTCCGCCAGCATCGTGCTCTGCTTTGTGTTCAGTATGTTTTCTGGAGCTTATTTCCTCCCACTGTGTCAGCAACGCAGAACATCAGCTCCTGAAGTCGTGGCAGTGGGAGGCAGGGGCTGGTGGCACAGTGAAGGTCTCTGCCTGACTGGCCTTTGCCGCTGGTTGCCCTCTGTGTTCTGGAAAGAGCGCACTCAGGCCATCGCATACCTCGCTGGCTTCTCTGGCATTGTCTCCTGGGCGCGTTGTGGGAAGAACTCCATGGGAGAAACCCGGGAAAATTTACCCAGTAGCTGTGAGATTCCTGCACCGTGTGTCATCTCCACGGTGTGTTTGCAATTGAGTAAACATTATCTGTCTGGCAGATGATGGAGCGTGCCATGCCTGTGAGGGAGCAGGCCTCTCTTTGACCCGTGACTGTATCTGTGGGCAGTGTTAAGTGTGTTTCGTTAGAGGTCAGTCATGGATTTGTCACAATTCCTCATCATGGGGCGATCTTCCTTGCGTTTGTGGTGTCTGCCAAGGAGACATGCCGGTGCCGATCCTCTGCCCTCCTTAGCCTGTGCCCTTCGGCAGGTAGAGTGG